TTATAATATTATTATAGCATGAATTCGGTAATACCATATTATATTTAGCAAATAAATATATAATAATACAGTACAACCTTAGTATAACGAACCTCAGTATAGCGAGATCCTCGATTAAACAAATTCTAGAAAGTGATAAGAGTTAACACAAAATATACCTTTGCATTACGAATAATTTTTGAGAAAACCTCTATAACGATTTTTCAATTATTGCAGAACATAAATAGAAAGTATAATTAACCTTAGCATAAAGGATTTAATTCTTGTGGTATTCTACCAACCAATCTAACAAGAATTCATTCAATTTTAGACATTCAATTTATCACAAGAATCCAGGAATTTAAACTGTCGTAATAAATTAATGTTTAGGTACAATATTTTTTTAAAGATTGCTAAACCGAACCTCAATGTAACAAATTACTTGGTATAACAAATAGTTTCCAATCCCCTCCAGATTTGTTATATCAAAGTTGTACTGTATAATAAATTCTGATGCAATGGAAACCGTCTCGTAAACGGTATTTTGGAACCTTTTTCCCCCATATGAGTCTACTGGATTTTGATTAGCCAAAGTGGCAACCCTGTAAATTATCACATATATAATTTTTGACAACCTGGATGGATGGATAATATTTATAGTTTTATTTGTGTATTATAATTTGCTATATAAAGTTATAAAAGGGTGGGATGATGGCAAGTAATGAAACTAACTGGTGAGGTTCAATTTGGTCAAAAGAGTAAGGTTTTGGAGGTTCCAGAATATTCTAAAAATACATGTATACCTAAACTATTAAATAAAGTTGATACCAGTATTAATAAATTACTACAATATACATAAAAAAATTCTGTCCAATCCGTACCTGCTTTTAGGTATTGTGATATGATTCTGTTTATATAGTAATTTGCAGAAAATAGATTAAAATAAGACATAAAAGATACAAAAAAAGACTTGAGAGACATGGCAATACATACGCTGCGGGCAGCTGTCGGGTAACGATACCGCCATACGTTATCGCTGATTTTTATCATTGTTTCTAATACTAGGAACAGCTATAAACGGCTTATTACTAAGAATACTACATAAATACGATTTTTATCATAGTCATCAACGCGAGCAACGACGGTGTTGCCAGATTTTTAAAATTTGCTTAATTTAAGCAGGAACATGCATTAAATAGCAATAATATTTTTATATTTATTATTAATACGTTATAATTTTTGATAATGTCAAATCATTGCCTATGTGTACATTTCAGGTTACCAGGATGTTTTTAACGTATTGTATTGTTAGAGTTAAGTACTTTAGCAATATCTAAAAACGTGGTCGGTTTTCTGTTTTAATAAAACCTAAATGTTCATGATTTAACATTTAAAGAAAATGGTATTGATTACAAGAACTAACTTTTTAGATAATTTTCGTAACTCGTAAAAAGTATTTAACCAGTGTCAACTACCCTTCTTAAAATTGTAACTAATTTAGTTTTATTAGGCCTAATTCTTTTAACATTTTCTAGCACTCTCGAATGTTGTTATGCTAAACGGCTATAAATGTATTAAGACATAATGAAATGGAAACTATTTTTGAGTAAAGAAAGATCTGTGTCTGGAATAATCTAGAAAAATATCAAAAAATATCATCCATTATATTCCTATTAAGTTTAAATGTGTGCAATGCTAAAATAATTTGACCATTCTATTAAATGAAATAACGGTCCACTCTGGCCTCTCTCATTGTAAGAGGGATTGGCCGGAATCACCATGTTTGATAGTTATTTTACCTGCGTATGAACCAGCCAAAAAGTTGGTTCTACTGTGTTTCTTAAACCTTCTAGAATATTCTAGATGTGTCTAGTTTGTAAGTGAATTGTAAGATAGTAAACTTGCTGTTTGTCATTATGTTTTGTTCTTGTTTTGATATAGGATAAGTAGATTGATATATTGGGTGACCTTTTTTACCGTCTGGAAAAAAATTGGTGTAACATATGAACGGAGTAGAAGCCTATGGTACTGATATTTTACAAAAAATAAAAACAAAAATTTTGAATTAAATAAATCAATTAATTAAAATCTATCGAAATTTAAATCATATCCACCCTACTTTACGAACGGCAATAAAACAATAAATTTTATTTTAATTTTAATTAATTAAATTTAATTTTTAATTTTGAATTAAAAGTTTGAAATTTTTTTGAACAATTACTTTGACCCTTGCCCTTGAGCCTGTGACCCTGCGAAGTGACAGGATCAAAGATGCCTACTAAATTTATTGTTTTATTGCCGTTCGTAAAGAAGGGTGGATATGATTTGAAATTCGATAGATATTTAATTAAATTATTTAATTCAAAATTTATGTTTTTATTGTTTGTAAAATATCAGTGCCATAGGCTTCTACTCCGTTCACATGTTACATTCTATTTTTTCTAGACGGTAAAAAAGGTCATCGAGTATTTGTGTGAAGCTTTGATTTGAAATATATCTGGGACGATATCGAATGCGAAATAATCGTACTTTTACGTAAATATATATACGTAACGTGAAAGGTTATAATAAACGGAAATTATGGTTTAATTACTAAACAGGCTGTGCTTCTCCCCCTCCCGCGTCGCACTCCTCACACATCGTAACGAACTCTTTCATCCTTTAGCTATCGAGTGGTGTAATTAAATATTGGATGTAGATTATAGATATATAGCCGCAATACCATACCAGATGAGTAACGGAACAGAGATAAAGCTTCATGCAACCGCGCGAATCGGTTGCACTACTACAAGCACGCGGGGTATGTGTGCGTGACTACTGCCCGCTTGACGTGTACGCGGCGAGACTGGAAAAAACCGGTTAAGCTGGCACAAGCAGTGGACAATCTCAGGGTCAGTGTTAATTTGAAAATTCGCTAAAAATTACGGTGATTTTACTGTTTTAAATTTTTCACTTCTGTCGGCAGTCCCCAATTACAGCCAATTTTCCTTTTTCATTTAAGGAGTATTTCAAATCAATGCTTTCTTAATGTACATATTACTATAATATATAATCATTTAAAGCAGTTTGTAATAAAAACCCAAGGATAATAGTAACAAATAGCGAAACTCAACAAAAGTCCGATATAGATAAAAATTGAAATTGCCTAAATAAGCGTAGCTTTTATATACCAACAGTAGGCTATACAGGTTGATGTTAGATACGAAATCTAAATATATTTTTTTATTATTTAATATAATTTAAAATTCTGTAGGATTTTTTGACAGAACCAAACATACTATGCGGTGCAACGATGAGAACATACACTTAGACTTGCAACGAATGTTCTGTTATTATCAGGTATTCGGCTTCTTTAATCTTAATCTGTCAAATACCGAATATCTAGGTACTATTCGGCCCAATACCTAATACTTAAGTAATATGTTTTGTTGTGGTCGGATTATTGGTAAAATGAAAATATGGATTTATTTTATAATAATGTGTTTTTCTTGTAATCATTAATGTAGTCATAGGTACATAATGTACTTCAGTATTATAAAAGTTAACAAAAAAACTATCAGATAAATGTCTATACACTTGAATTATCGTAATTAAAATTTAGAAGTGCACGATTATGGTGTATAGACAATTTTTACTGTATACAGTACTGTACTGTATGCAGTAGTTTACTCCTTATCTTCTCGTAAATCAGCTTCAGAGAAAATATACTCTCTATAAACACTACTTACTTCAGCCCGCAGAATATTCCGAATATTTTACTTGTAGTAGTGTAGTGTAATAGAAACGTATGAACCAAATATGATGGTTCAGTGTCTCGATGTCTGTTTTTGTGTAATTAATTTCACACGACTCTACGATACAGGAAGAACTTTGACTGGAAGGTAACTTTTTAGACCTATTAATGTTTAATACATAAGGCTAAAATATAAGGAAGTATTATTGAAAATTATGTTTCCCCAATCTCTTCAGAGCAGAGCTTAAGATGATTATCCATATGGATTAAACTCTGTCCAGGAATCTGACGGGAGTGGAGCACATGAGAGTTTGTAATTTGATCTAAGCTTAGCGGCTTCACAGAAGTACTCCTTTCCTCTTCCCTTTACGCCTATCACTAATACGCTCAACTCTAAACATAACCCGCACTATACAAAGCGAAAATATTTTATGGAACTTATAAATGTTCCATAAAATATTTTACCAAAATCCAACACGCTGTATAGCCACCGTGTTATTTACACCGCGAGTTCCTAATCGTTAATTGTTACGAATGCATTTATCATTTTATTGTGATAATTCAACTCTACGATTATTATTATAATTCCTTAGTGTTTTAGTTTACAATTTATTTTGACATATATTAATTGAAATTGGATGACATCAGATGTGCTCATTTCATGATATTATTTGAAGATGTTATAGAACTAACCAAATTGAACTTTATTCTGTAAACAACAGAATTGATATACGTTGAACTAGTAAAAATGAGTGTGAATAATATTTTTTTCATTTTTTTTTTGAAATCACTGACAGTACTATACAATATGTAACGTAATTAACGCACACCCTCAGACACCCCACTTAGTATATCATGTTATAATCACAATACATACACTGAATGTTAGTTAAACATTTTTATGCACTGATTATTTATCAAATTAGTTATACTAATTCCGGAAGAATGTTGTGGTCACAGTACAAATCCACGAACGCAAAGACTTTAGCGTGCTTGAAATAAAGTTCATTTTTCTTTATTTTTATTGAATGACAGAATTAGTAATAATACAAATAAAACTGCACTCTTAAAAGTCTTATTACCTTAACCCATTTAGACCGATAATTATTTTTGTGAAAAATTCATGTTTCATTAACAAAACCTGATCCAAGAAAGCCTAAAAACCGGGGGAAAAATATTTAAAAAAAAATTAATAAGAGGGGGGGGCGACTGAAGGGACGTACCACATATGGTACAGTAGGACTATATGTATGCAAAAAAAGACATGATTTTACTAATTAGATTTTATTTACTTTTTGGTGTGATACATAATAAAGCACTCTACGTGGACACCGATATTGCACTTGACACATCTTGTAGGACATTGTTTGTGGCATAGGCCACACCTGGTCCTCTTTTCCTGCTTGCTGACATAGTGTTCTTTGCCGTCGTATCGAGAGTCTGATGTTATTGAAGATGGTCGACTAGGACCTGGCCTTTCGCGTTGTTTATTACAATCGATAATATAGTTTGCAATACGACGTCGAAAGTTTAGCAAGTCGATATTCCCTCCATTATGTCTGTACAGCAGCCATGCATTTTGTACAGACATGTCTATACAATGGAGAATCAGAGGCATATACCACTTTTTTCCTCGAATGCTAGTTCGCAATGACGATATATTCTGATCTGATAAATCTACTCCACCCATATTTTTATTGTATTGTTGAATGAGATGAGGTTGAGAAACAGATATTTTCTTTTTTAGTTGCTGAGAATAGCGTTCAGTTTTGTGGACAGGATCAACACCAACTGCATTAGAGCATACTGACACTATACTATTGTCATGCCACTTGCAAATTATAATATCATCAGATATGCGATAATCATAAAAGCCTCTTTCTTTTGTCTTTGCTTCTTTGTTACTTAATAGAGGGCACTTTCCAGATCTATTTTCTCTGATAGTACCAGTTACACGAAATCCCCTCTCAGTAAGTTCATGAACCAAAGGCAAACCGGTAAAAAAGTTATCTATGAAGAGATGGTAGTTTTTTCCATAGCCTAATGTTGCTAGTTGATCTGCATAAGACAAAACCACACTTGCACCAAGACCAAGCTGGGAATATTGGGCATTCGTAAATGTAGAAGCACCTTGGTATGGTTCAAACCATGCAATGTAACCTCCTGATGTTGCACCAACCCATAATTTGTATCCATATCTTATAGGCTTGCCTCTAATAAACTGTTTGCAGCCGTGATGACCAAAATATGGGACCATAGCCTCATCAACACTATGATTCTCCTTATGTGGACAGTGCTCAAGAAACCTCATAGTTAAAACTTTTAATAAAGGACGAACTTTTGCAAATTTATCGGATGTATCTAAATTTAGATTATCAGCAACATGAATATTAGAGTAAATTAGTGTAAATCTATCTCGAGACAAGGCTGAAGCAATCAAACTATTTCTTGAGTCAGATGCATTTTCCCAGTACATTCTTCTTCTGCTCACTTGGCAGTAGCCACTGACTAACAAAATCCCTACCAAACATTTCATCTCTTCAATCTTGACGTCAGCAGAGAGAAGCTTACGTGCTAAGTATCTATTGGTTTCAATAGTAAGCATCTCAAATACTTCTTCTGAAAATAATAAAGAAAACCATTCTATCGGGCTTCTTTCAATAGGAGTATGATAAAGGGGTTTCCAAACAATAGGTCTTAGCTGCAAGTCTCGTTTTCGCCAATTGTAATTCATGACACGTTTTTTTAAAGGTTCTTGAAATTCGGGAGGGGTTTGGTCCTCAGTTTCTGGTTTTTCCATTGAGGTTGAGGCAGCAAGCTCCGCTGGAGCTCGAAGCAAACTTCCAGGCAAATTATTTATGCTGACGTTATCTTCTTCACCCGAGTCCTCGTCAGTTTGGTAATCATTGGCGGTGTCAGGTGGAAGTAAAAAAATATCAAAATCTTGTCTCTGGTTGCTAAAATCATCATCTTCCTCAAGAACTGTAGCAATTTCATGTAATGTCAATGACCTAAAACAATAAAACACAAAAAGATAAATAAAAAGCTAATATAATAATATGTAAATTGACTTAGGTATTTTGTGCTCATACATAGACCTACTGTACCATATATGATACACCTAATCTAGCACTGTGTACACCTTACTAAAATGACCCAAGTGAAACTTATTTGTAGCTATTACGTCTATTGTAGCCTAGTATTTAAAATAATACCAACAAATAATATGATTTACTATAGATAACATGAAACTTACCTTCTTGAAGACATTGTAAATTGTTTTTTTCCGTTTCTGTCTAGCAATTTTAATATAAACTGATAATAACTCGCATAAAATGTGTATGTTATATTGTTGATATAAAACTAATACTCTGAGTTATCTGCCACAACTAACCAAAAAAGTTAATAATTTGTGGGTACATCAAAATATTTTTACAAAGTAACTGTACCACATAGGGTACGGTAGGCCTATATGGGTTAAGGTAAGGTCCATGTCAGTTTGTTTTGACTGTACAGATTTAGTGTGACTCTAATTTACGTAGTTTTAATTATTTTTGGGATAAAAAATTACCTATATTAAAAATGATAGGATCGATTGAGTAAACGATTCTGAACAAACTACTTCCAGGATGTCCGTTAATTATGTTACATGTTGTATATACGTGTAGCGTTGCCAGGCGTCCGGATAAAGCCGGACACAGGCTTTTTCGTCGCGTGTCAGGCCAAATTAGACGGTGTCCGGCCTGTCCGGCTTTTGTTAGATTTTTTACATTTTTCATGTATTTACATACATAATATTGCAATTACTGAAATTGATATTGTAATTGTAATGTATATTGAATGATTAATAATAAAGACGACTGATTTATTCAATTTTATTGTTATTTCGTTAGAATTTACGATTTTATGGTAAATCATAAAAATCATTGTTTTACTTTAATAAAAAATGATCATGTATACTGAGACTAAAAAATTAAGGGTGTCCGGTCTTTTTTTTCCAAATTACCGGCTACGCTCTCTAGTCTATCCGGCTTTTCGGTTTTAAGACCTGGCAACCCTATATACATATAACGACTAGTACTTATGTTTATCAATCCAAGTGAAATTAAAATACATGTGCTAAGAGTTGGTCACGGCAGTAGTTGTATGTATCATTAAACCGTTCAAACCGTGTTGAAATATAACCTGAGTAATATTTGTGACATAATATGTAATTATAATATGAATTGTCGTAATTATTGTAATTATAATCCCCCATAGATTGCCTTAAATTGGACCGTTTGGCAACCGCATTTTTTTTTACTTGCAATTAGCAAGGCATCGCCTCTTGACACCCATGGTACAATTGGGGAAGTAAATATTCGTACACCGCCACTTCACGGTTACGTTGGCACGGTTCGTCTTAACACAAATATATAATGATTTTAAATAAATTCGATTCGGTTAATTGGTTACGTATCGATGAGATGAGTACAAATGATTATTTAATACGGTCTTGTTACAAAACGTGGTTTAACTGTGATTTAAGAAGAGTCTTAACAAAAGAAGTGACCATCACAGCCTCGCGAATTTGACATTTGTTTCTGCGTAGATGTGACGAAAAATGAATATTCAAAAGCTGAACTTACGACATCAGGATTCATGATGTCAAACACCTCAACCCCCCATAACCATAGGTGCTGTAAATTGTAATGCACACAAAACGTACGGTAATTAACAATAATTCAAATAAATTCCAAAAATTAGTTTTATACAATGTGTGGTATTCGTCATAAATTAAGAAATCCTTATATGCTGTCAAATTCTATACATAGTTAATTGGAGTCAAAGGTTTTTTTTAATAGATGTTCGTTTTAATTGGCATATTCCCGCGGGACCTCTTACTTGAAACAGATGTTAGTTTAAACATGAGACTAAACACAAACTACTTTCTGTACTAAGACCATTAATCGAAATTAATCAAATATTTAAAAAAGTATTTAAGTTTTTTAGGAGTTGCACTCAGAAAAAATCGAGTATTCTTTATTATGTTTATTTGTCAAATTATCAAGGAAAGAATGGTTTCGTTGTGTTTTGTTTGTTTTGCAAATCGTTTATGTTAAGTTATTAAAATAAATATTTGGAATCTGAATACTATCTTGAATTTATATAGGTTCATATTTATTTAAATACATATCTGTGTACATTAGAAAAAAGTATTATTTTTAAAATTTGCAAAATTCTGTCACCGCGCTGTAATTAAATATGTATGGCCGTAAATTATAACTGTTGTATAAATGTTCTCAAATTATTGTAACTTTATTTTCTATAATATAATAAATGACATAATGAAACAACCTGTAGTTTTATTCATGTCCTACTACCCAAGCAAATGAGAGGTCGAAATTCGTAATGGACGACACTCACGGTCACTTCAACTGATCAGTTCAAACTAGGACTGTTGATATTTTTTAAAATATCGGATTTTCGATATATCGATAATTATAAATATATCAATATCGGAGTTTTATATATAAGTTTTTTTCACCGATATATCTAAAATCCGATATTTAAAAACATATCAACAGTCCTAGTTTGAACTGCCCGTGTCCGTCCATTAGTTTTAAGATCGAAAAATGAAACAAAATGCCTGAAATGATACTTTATTTTAAGTCAGTATGGTTTAAAAGAAACCACTGCAACCACACTGCCCTTCTTATGAAAAGTGCAATAACTTGGTTTTGGCTACTTTCGAGATAATCACAATCAAAGATTTAATTCTTGTTTTGTGTGTATCTTCGTAACTATGATAGCTATATACTTGAAACTTTTATTATACGACTGATAAAATGATGCAGAATTCTTTGTAGTATATTGTATTTGTACATACATTTATATAGACATTAAAAACAGAATAAAGTGTTTATCTTTAGGACTGTTAATTGCTTTGATAGAGCGTGACTAATCATGATTGCAATAAGTAGACTACTTATTGCAGTTATCGTTTGTAAATGCGGGAAATAGAGTAAATGGGGCCCTGCACTCTATTGTGAAGAGTCAAAATGTGTCGAAAAAGGCACGTATGGCAATTCACAGTGCTGTGTTGGTCCCTACTTTAACGTATGGTAGTGAAAGTTGGGTGTGGCAGAAGAGTAGAATGAACGCAGTAGAAATGCGGTCGTTAAGGAGTATGTGATTTGCAAGATGATGCGGTTACCAGGATTAAGAAAGGAATGCTTCGGTGGTTTTCAAAACTTGACTATTCCATTTTCGCCCAAGGTAGATTTTTTAATTTTTTTAGGTTGGCTACATTGAAATATATATGCATCGAAAACAAAATCCTGACAAAACGTGATAGATCAACTAGAAAAATATATTTAAAAACGCATGATTTCGTCAAAAGTAGATTATTCCTAAAAAAAAGAAGGTTAAAAATAAGGATTTAAGAAATTGCAACAAAACATGATTAATCCAGAAGATATTTTTTTATCACTGGAAATTGTAACAAAACATGTTTTTTCCTCATATTTTTAAGGTAGTCGTTTTTATGTTCTCATTGGTGCCAAGGCTGCCATGTTTTTAAACGGTTAATGACTGAAAAAAGAATCCATAGCAAAAGGGCTAGAACATTTTATGACTTAATGAAGAAAGAAGAACAAGAAGGTTCTTTAACATTCTGTTTCGATCTGCAACAGGTTCAGCCACTACCCGCACTCCGATTCAAGAAGCATTTTATAGTCGACAGATTAGCTTTTATATATTTTGCATTGTAGCTAAAAATACTAAAAATCCTTTATTCTACAATTGGACTGAAATACAAGCAAATAGGGGCGCAACAGAAATCGGTTCTGCTTTACTAGATTTTTTAAAAACTCATGATTTTTATGGTATTCATACTATGAGGTTGTTTTGTGATGGCTGTGGGGGCCAGAACAAAAATTCCCATATTGTGCATTTACTATTGTTTTGGCTCCAAAAGCTGTCACCAGAAAATGTAGAAAAAATACAATTGTTTTTCCCAGTCAGAGGACACAGTTTCTTGCCTGCTGACAGGGTTTTTGGACGTGTAGAAAAGGAACTCATGTGCCATCCAATTATAACAACCTTAGAAGAATACATACAATATTACTCTCAGTTTGGAACAGTAAAAAAATTAGGAATTGATTGGAAGTTATATAATATTAAAGATTTGGAAAAGGTTTACAAGAAAGTTACAGGTATTCAGAATTTAAAAAGAATAACTTTTATTAAAACTATTAATAAAGGAAACCAACGTCAATGTCACATTAAAACTTTTGAAAATTACATGTTTATATAACGGATGTCGAAAATAATGCAAAATTAAACCTTGTTAAACGACAAGCAAGTCTGGTTAACCTTGATTTAACTGAATTGGCAATAGAAAAACACTTGAACTTAAAAAAGAAAAATGATGTAAAAACCTGCTTGTGAAACAATTTGTGGATAGGGGATGTGCTATGGCAAACACTGAACTCATTTGGGTTGAGCGCTGGCTTGATACAGGCATTGGAGTCTCTTTATAGGGACTCTAGTGCCTGTGTTAGGATCAACGGGGTCTACTCGGACTGGTTTGACATCCATAAAGGTGTCAGACAGGGCTGTGTGGCTTCCCCGTGGCTGTTCAACCTATTTATGGACAGTTGTTTACATAATTTGAAAGTTGAAGAATGCGGATTAAGAATGGGTGAGTTAACCGTCAAATGCCTTTTGTACGCCGATGATCAAGTTATTCTTGCGTCGTCGGCGGCCGAGTTGCAAATGATGGTTACATTAACGAAAAGATTCTTAAAAGGGGTATGAAAGTGAACGCAAGTAAGACGAAAGTTATGGTTTTTGAAAGAGAAGAAAGTAAAACGATTTGTGAAACAAGAATAGAAGAAGAGTTAATTGAGCAAGTGGATGAGTTCGTATATATGGGATGTGTATTCAGCAGGTATGGGAGATATGATAAGGATATAGAACGACGAGTGAATGCGGGAAATAGAGTAAATGGGGCCCTGCACTCTATTGTGAAGAGTCAAAATGTGTCGAAAAAGGCACGTATGGTAATTCACTATACTGTGTTGGTCCCTACTTTAACGTATGGTAGTGAAACGAGAGTAGAATCAACGCAATGGAAATGCGGTCCTTAAGGAGTATGTTAGGGCTGAATCTGAACGACAGGGTAAGAAATTGTGTAATAAGAGCTTCGTTGGTTTGGTCATGTAGAAAGAATGAATGAGGAAAGAGTGACAAAGAAAATTTATGTTGCAGAAGTGAATGGCAGAGTC